GTCATGTTGGAACAGAGTAAGAAGCGTAAACTTTAGGGTTCTTGAAGTATATATTAATATAATAATTATAATATATATAAATAGTTTTAGTTGTGGTAGGTATATAAACCAAACATGTTCCATACAACCTTCCGGCAAGAAACCCATGCAAGGACCTCCACGCATATTATTCCAAAGTGTACCTCGGTTCAAAAGTGATCATGAACATTGAGCTACATGCACTACACACTATACACACTGCATGTGCAAATGTATACGATATTGTACGGTATATTACGGTATATTTCTTATGTTTTCTTATGGCTTTAATCAAAGAAGACCATGGGTCAATGATGGTCACTGTAATTCAACAGTGAAAGCTTTTTTACACATCTGCCAGACTCAGTTGACCCGAGATGGCCCGGCACAGTGGGCTTAGTCGAGCCATGTCGAGCCCAGTCGCCGAGATCAAGGCTCCGCCCACCGCAGTGACTCGGAAGGCCTGGGTGGTCCAAACAGCTGGGGTGCGAAGCCCATGAGGTTCTGACATCAGGCAATCCACTTGATGTACAAGTCAGAACTTGATGTTCACCCAAAGTTTGTTTGGGGAAGCTGGTTGTGATGATATGTACATTGGTTGGGTATGATGGGGTATGATGTGGCTGGTTCTTGACACCTTGGGTCGACGATTTCTTCACATTCCGCGGCCAAGAACCTCCTAGCGTCCATGACGCCCTCCCGCACACACCATGTATGCAAACGTACATGCTGCAGGATAATTACACAGCTCTGCTTTGTGGACCAGGCCAAACATTGCCCTGGGAGGATGTGCCAATTTCAGGACTCTCACCGAGTATGTTCAAGCTTGTCCAAGTGGGTTGCAAGACAAGTTGTAGCACCAAAAGGTCAAGCCTACTCGTTGAGAACCCCCGCCATTGTGTTCGGGCTCTTTGCTTCGGGGGATCGCGTTAAGGCCACGCATTTCAGCGGCCAAACTGCCGCGCCTCCTTCACAAACTCCATGATGGCCAACGCGTGCTGGTCATGACCTGCAGTCTGACGTCACTGATGTCGCTTCAAATTGAAATTCCTAAGCAGACTCTCTTGAAAAGGAATATGGACATTGACAGACCACCCCCGGTTGATATGAGCATTGGTTTCCAAGTGTTTCCTGACCATGTCTGGCAATTTTCATGATGTGACTATTTCTGGGATTTATATTTCTGGGATTTATATATGAGGTGCCTCATTTTGGAAGGCGCGGTGTTGAGAGAATCTTTCGTGCATAAACAAACGCAGGCCCCCCGAAACAAACGCGTAAATTGGACGTAAAGGTACCCAGTCTCTAGATTCCACCACAAAACAAAAAGGCAACTATCCGCACAAAGCACGGTCCAAACGATTCGGAACACCGCCCAGCATGGCTGAGCTTCAGCACAGAAAAAGGCGTCCAGAGTGCTTTTGTCCTTGGCACATAAAACAACGGTCCGGTCCGGGTGCGGCGTTCTGCAGCATCGAAGACATGCACAAACATGGGGGAATGCCCCAGTTGTTGCAAGGCCCATACCTCCACTTCACTCTTGCAGGTCCCCTCCCAAGCGAGAAGGATAAGAGTCCGGCGGCCCGGCGTACGGGGCCCTGGCCACCACCAATGGGAAGCTATCGCTGGGAATGTCCAATCTTCGGCAGTCTGCAGCCTTCCAAACAATGGAAGGTCGGCAGCCACCTCAGCATTCATCGACTCAACTCTGGGAAGGGTTCCATCTGAATTTGACCGGTTGGTTTGCAAGGCTTAAACCCACCTGATTGATACCCATCATCACCTCTGATTGATACCCACGGAGCCAGCATGGATCACGTGATTGCTGGGCGACCCGAGCGGTTTCGAGCTTCCATGTGGGTCATAGCAGCCTCTGAGATGTCCACGGCAGTCTGCTGGACATAGCCGGCATCGAACATCTCCTCTGCATGTCCGAACGAAGAATCCCTTTAGGATACTCTCCTGGAACTAACATGGAAGTGGATGATGTGGAAAGCCCCTTGTTTGTAGAGAAAACTTGTTTTTTAAGATCTTTCTTTTAAGGGGCCATGACTGGGGCCATGCCATCCACTTGCATGTTACTCCCAGGGAATCTCCAACCGAACCCCATGGTCCATGACTTCTAAGCCAGGTCACGGGTGACCCTGAAGGCTTGTGAACTCCGTGGACTTTCTAGTGGATCATATCATACAGCCAACCCAAAAAGTGTTTTCTTGCGGATCATCTGATGGGTCACACAGATGTGCCAATGCCCTATGCACTTCTCACAGTCCATGTGGGTTGTCTTCGGAGGGTTCGTACTTCTCATCCTCAGTGACTTCGATGGCAAAACGGCAATACCAACAGGTTCTTCGGAAGAACAAGATCCCTTGGTTGAAGAATCTCAGAAGACTCTCCAAGATATGACCATATCCAAGGGTCCCTCCCCCAAAAAATGGTAAAATGGGGGTTCTGGGGAGTTTTTGTTCATCAATCACCTCGTTGATTTTTTTTTGCCTCGCTAAAATTTGTGTTGAGGCTTTGTCGTTATTCTCTATGGGGTTTCTGGGGAAAATTTGGTGCTAAAAATCACTCTGTTCGGTGATATTCAACGAGGTGAGTGATTGTTTAGGTTGTTGTGTTTTATGTTTGGGGTTGGGGTTCAAAGGATTAGTTCATAATATGTTTAAATTAAGATATTATGAATTAATCATTTACGCTTTCCATTTACCTATTCCATCCCACCAATGTTCAATCACCCTCATTTGTGTTAGACAAGGTTTATTTGTATCGTTTAGTTCATCCATCGCTATTGATAATAGGGTCAGGTTTATAATCATAGCGTTGAATTCTCCATCACTGTTGAGTTTCTTACCACAATCAATGATGACTTTTTTGTCAGTGAGATTTTCATACATCTTTTTCATAATGTCAAAATCCACAAATGAATATATTATCATTCCATTTACTCCTTCATTGTCCTTCATCCTATCAATTACTTTCTTCCAAAATGCTTCTCCTTCCTCATCATTGATTGAAGGCATAGGATGGCATCTTACGAAGTCTCTTATCTCTTCGTCTTCCTTTTCTATTTGTTCCCTCTCCCAGTCATCATCATCACTACCAACTTCAACATATAACCCTAAATTTTCTGATACTTCACTCATATCATAAACTTTATTTAACACTACTCATTTTCTCTTACTATATATAGGTAATTTTTCTTTAAGTCTTTTTGGTGTATCATTCATTTTTGGGCTCTGGTTGGTTTTCTTTTCCTTCTTCCTCCTCTTCTATCTCTTTTATGACTTTATCAAACTCATTCATTCCTTCGTTCTTGTATCTGCCATTGGCGAGGTTTCTTAATTGCTCAAATTGTTTCGCTTCTTGTCTCTTCTCGGACGTTAGTTCTTTCAGGTGTTCCTTCAACTCTTCTAAATCAAAATATGTATCTTCCTCTTCATCCTTGAAGTCGTTTTCAAAAAACATTCTCATTCTCACCTTTTCCATCTCTAAAAGTTTGTTTTCCATAGTCTGGAATTTCATTTGTCTCTTTCCGCACTTCCCGCACATATTCACATAGGTCTTTAACAAATATGACCAGTTCGGTTCTTTCCATTCATTCAACGTTATAACTTCAGTCATTATCCGACATCCACAATCAAATTTAGTCATTTTTCTCTCTTACTCTTATATGTCATTTTTTCTTTAAGTATATGTTTTATTCTTTAAGAAATCTTTAAAATCTAAAACTATAATAATGGCAAGAAGATTAACAAAAGAACAGGTGATAAGCAACGCATACTACGATTTGGAAACTGGCTTCGGCTCAATCCAAGACACACTAAAACAAGCAAAGGAACAAGACCCAACCATCACAAGAGTAGATGTTGAAACCTTTATGAAGAAACAACCCAACAAACAGATTAGAGGATACAGAGGTTCAAACTCTTACACGGCTCCGTTCGCGAGGTTCGAATACCAGATTGACATAATGCACATGAAGCCTTTAACCAAAGTTCCGGAAGCAAAAATACCGATGAAGAACGATGAACCACCCTATGCGTTAGTCGTTATAGACATATTCAGTAAGATGGGCGACGTCATACCTATGAAGCAGAGAGACGGAGCATCGGTCTTACCAGCGTTGAAAGAGAGTTTCAAGAAGATGGGCTTTCCGATGAGCATCTATTCGGATGACGACGGGGCATTTCAAACGGTGGTGGCAAAGTTCTTTAAGGACGAAGGCATCAATCACATCATCACGAGGACACACGCCAACGTCGCGGAGCGTTTCATCAGGACACTAAAGAACATGATACACGACAGGGTCAGATTTAATAGGGCAGGATGGACGAGTATGCTTCCGCCCGTCTTGAAGAAATACAACAGCACCAAGCACTCATCCACCAAACTCACACCCAACGAAGCCCACGATGATAAGAACCACATGGACGTTAAAGTTAATCTGACGAGGAGAGAAAAGAACACGAGGAAATACGAGGAGATAAACGAGAACGACACAGTCAAAATCTTCACCAAGGGCAGAGGCAACTACACCGACAGGAAGGAGTATGTAAGCCGATGGTCAAAGCAGAACTACAAGGTAAAGAAAATTGAATATGACAGCACAGGCAATAGAACATATTTGATTGAAGGATTGACTAAACCCTTCCTTAGACACGAGATACTGAAAGTTCATACTTAGACCTTTGACAGGATGTCATATATCAGTTCTTCCGGTATTCTGTATAGTTCATCCTGTGTCTTCTTCCTTTGTTCCTCCCATCTGCCTTTACAGGGAAGTCTCTGTGCGGTTTCTTTGTGTCTATTGCCTACCATACTATTACAGTCTTTTTTACATAAGGGTCTGGGTTTCCAACTCTTTAAGTTGGTCGCGTTGCGAGGGAGGATATGACCCTGTTGGTCATATCCACCCATCCATATTCTGGTTCGCTTCCTATATTCAAAACCATACTTACAATAATCCACATCATAATAATCAAAATCTTTCATAAAGTCCTGTTCCTTCAAAAGTCCCGTCTGTGGATTTTCTATGAAAAATATTCTCGGTTGAAAGTAATTGATGATTTCAATCGTTTTCCTTACGATGCTGTTGGCATAATCTATGTTTCTAACACCAGTCGTTTTTGCTCTGCTGTATTCAGTGCAAGGAGGCGAAGACCAAATTATATCAAAATCCTTATCAATTTTTTTGTAGTCCCATTGTAGTATGTCTTCATTAATGTTTGCGTTCTTCAAATCTAACGATATAACACTAAAACCGTATTCACGGGCAACTCTACCAACACTACCTGTTCCACTAAACAGTTCCAATAGTTTCATATTAAAACTTTATAGATTTTTAATATGAAAGTATCATACTAAAACATACTTCTCTGTTTCCGTGTCCTTAACGATTTGGTAGTATTCAAGGGTCTGTTCTTTAGGTTGTGTGATTTTTCCTTTGTTAATCCACTCTAAATACTGTTTTCTCTTCTCATCCCACGAACCGGCGGGTCTTCCTATCTGCTTCTTTTCAAAAATCTTATTCATTCTCTCCTTCTCATCATCATCGTTTTTCTTCTCCTCTTTTTTCGGTTTGGTGAGTTTCTCCTCAATGGTGAGTTTCTCCTCAATGGTGAGTTTCTCCTCAATGGTCTTCAAGGTCTCCATTATGGTTTTGATGTTCTTATTACACCTGTTGAGTTTGTTGGTCAGTTCTGCCAGTTTGTCGGTGTTCCCGTCCATATCACTGATAATTATATATCTATTTATATAATTACTTATTTAGATATTTATTTATCAAATCTTTCCCCGTCAAAAATCTACTCTTTAAATAGTTTATTTTCACTTATCAACTATACACTTCACAGTCTCAAGCGTTGTCTCGTTCTCCGTCGGTGTAATCTGCTTACCCCATTTAAAGGTTATGTTATGAATGTCCGTCTCAACGTTGATGTCTCCGTCTTTCGTCTTGTCAATGGTCATACTCTTGTCGCTCTTACTCACTTTGAATGTGAAGGGAACACACTTACACTGACAATCACCTTTCTTCTTGATGATGAGTTCGTTTTGCATTTCCAGCATCTTTTTACAAGCAGGACATTCAAACTTGATGTCATTGCTTTTCTCTACTATCTCCTCTTCCTCCTCAATCGTCTCGGTTTGGATTTCAACATCTTTACTTGTCTTTTTCTTTTTCACCATCACTAATATAAAAATAATTAGATAATATGTTCGTGCAATTATCTAATTATTTTGTGGGGAACTTTAAAGCACTTCAGGGGCGTAGGTCGTTTCAAATGAAAATACGGGGAGGCAAAGCAAACCAAACTAATTAACGGCTTATGCGGATTGAAGCGAACTGTCCCTATAATGGTTTGCTTCAATAAGAATATAAACATTTTATTTTCTAAATATTTTTAATATCAACTAGATGATAAACATCAAACCATATAAGCACAAGGAATACAGCAGTAAGCAGTCAAAGTATGGTTATATGGCACCGCTTCCAGCGAGAATTCTTTTGAACGCTCCGTCAGGAACAGGTAAAACAGTAGCACTGACAAACCTGATCATGGACATCTACAAAGACTGTTTTGAAAAGATATACATATTTTCACCCACCGTCTTTATAGATGACACTTGGGCGGTGGTGAAGAAATACATTGAACGTGAAATGGACATCAAGCACACGGACGAAGACCCCATCTACTTTGACAACTTTGAGGAGAAAGACCTTAAGAACATCATAGACACTCAGGAAGGAGTAATCAAGTATATGAAGGAGAAGGAATACAAACACCTCTACAACATCTGCATCATCATTGACGACTGGGCGGACAACGAACGCGTTGTAAGAAAGAACAAGGAGTTAGTCAAACTATTCACGAAAGGCAGACATTGGTATATCTCAACCTTCATCACTTCACAGTCCTAC